TGTGATGTTGCTCGTCAGGTGTGCAGACCCGTTGTTGTCTGGTTGGTCAACAGGTGAGTTCCTCCAGCAGTCTCTGTTTTCACAGTGACTCCTGAGCCAAGCTTGTTAATCCAAACTCTCTTCTTTTAATCCAATTGAGCAGCAGTAGAGGCGGTGATTCGGAGGTGGTGTTCTAGTCTGGATCACATTATCAGACGGGATCTCCAGGATCCTCCACGGTTCTTTGGACCTGGGCCGATCCAGTTTGATGGTGAGATGAATATTCTCCTGGTTCTTGTTACTCTCCGGATGTCTTAAGGGCAGCAGCAGAAAGTCTGAGCTGCTCCGTCACCTCCCAACCTGAGAGGAGGCGCAAGAACCCTCTGAGCCAATCAGAGCAGCTTATCTCTGACCAGGTGACTTCTGGCCCAATGACAGGAAGGCAGCAGATTAACTTGTTAACATGACGCCGAATGTCTTGATAGACGACCTGCAACATGTTGAGCAACTGCAACATGTTGAGCAACTGCAACATTTTGAGCAACTACAACTGCAACATGTTCAGCAACTGTAACTAACAGCAACATGTTCAGCAACTGTAACAGCAACATGTTCAGCAACTGTAACAGCAACATGTTCAGCAACTGTAACATGTTGAGCAACTGCAATATGTTGAGCAACTGTAACTGCAACATGTTGAGCAACTGCAACATGTTCAGCAACTGTAACTAACAGCAACATGTTCAGCAACTGTAACAGCAACATGTTCAGCAACTGTAACATGTTGAGGAACTGTAACTGCAACATGTTCAGGAACATGTTCAGCAACTGTAACAGCAACATGTTCAGCAACTGTAACATGTTGAGGAACTGTAACTGCAACATGTTCAGCAACTGTAACTGCAACATGTTCAGCAACTGTAACAGCAACATGTTCAGCAACTGTAACATGTTCAGCAACTGCAACAAGTTCAGCAACTGCAACTAACGGCAACATGTTGGGCAACTGTAACAGCAACATGTTCAGCAACTGTAACATGTTGAGGAACTGTAACTGCAACATGTTCAGCAACTGTAACATGTTCAGCAACTGTAACAGCAACATGTTCAGCAACTGTAACATGTTCAGCAACTGCAACAAGTTCAGAAACTGCAACTAACGGCAACATGTTGGGCAACTGTAACAGCAACATGTTCAGCAACTGTAACTAACAGCAACATGTTAAGCAGCTGTAGAAGACGTGCAGGGAAACACAGAGCTCAGCCGTAAGAGGATTATCATGCTGAGCTAATTATTGCCAGAGAGAGAACACAAAGTCACTGTGGTGTTGGGAAAACGTAAGGAACCTGAGGAACGTTTGTCCTATTTGTGTCATGTAATATAATATAACAACACAGTAAGATGAAAGCTCTCTACTCTGCATGTAGCCACCTAGCATCTTTTAGCTAACACTTAGCATGTAGCCGCCGAGCCTCATTTAGCTTGCAGTTAGTATGTAACCACGTAGATATGCATGCAGGAAGTCAACTCTACCATCCCCCTTCAGCACAAAGCCCCACAAGAAACAGAAGATGGCCGTCAACTGATGTAAACACACACTAAATCTAATAAGCAGGGAACACAGTGGTTGGCTCCTCTAGTATCTTTGTTTAAAACTAAAAAGAAACAATTATACAAAAAGGAACCTTTACACAAACATTTGATAGAACATGCAATGTAAAAGTAATGATCTATCTTTCGAGACCACCGTCCCCTCCAGCAGATAACACATGTTTAACCATTATCTCACACACCTTTGATTTAATGCTATGACCTAAAAAAAATACATCATGTTTCTACAAGTTCACTCTTAAAATCATGCTTTTAAACATATTTAAAACAGGAAAGAAAGAGAGCCTCCCAAATCAGTCACCAAACAAAGGCTGGCCTTGAGGCTGATCAGCTGCTCTCTCAGGTTTGTCTGAGTTCAGGAGGAAAGGTGAACCTCCCACCCCATTGTATGGTATGCCCCCTGTTGCCTGGGTCCTAATGGTAGGCTGCCTGTTACCTGCCCGCAGTATTTGAACGTGAAAAAAGGCGCGTTCGATATGCGGATCCGCCTGGTGTCCGCAGTGAGTCCGCTGTTTGACGGTGCCCGTATCCTGTGCGTATGGCCAAACTGAGTGATCCGCCCTGGAGTCACCTGCTATTTGGGTAGTGACAGTTTACATCAACAGAACGAGAAGCAACAACAACAAGTGAAAACAACAACAGTAAGAACGTCGTCTGACCTCTCAGAGCTCCATTAAAACATGTTCCTTCATTAGCAAGAATACACATTGTAGTTTATTTTCATAAAGAAAGACATGAAGTCATTCATAACACATGGAACAAAGTTCTTCATTAAACCACAGCTCCCAGTAACGTTCAGGTTGGACTCAGCTGATCTGGAGTCAGTCTCCCTCATTGAATCAGACTGAAGGTTAAAAGTCTACAGACCTGCAACAAGTCATCGATAAATAAATCAAACAATCAGCAACTATTTTAATAATTGATTACAAAAGACTCTTAAACTGAATTTCGGACTCTTTTACAGACCAAACCAAAATATTTTTATTTGTTATTATTATAACAAATAGAAATATTCTATATATCTATATATAAATATTTATAATACAATACGTTGAACATCTTTGTCAGGCGGTTTGTAGTCAGTGACAATGTGAACTGGAAGTCTCTTCCTAATGAGTCAGATCTGAACCACTCACAGCTTCACTTCCTGTATCAGTGGCAGCGTGTTGCGTCATGTGCCGCCTCATGTTCGATACCTGCGTGAAGTTCTTTTCACAGACGGAGCAGCTGAAGGGTTTCTCTCGGGTCTCTACCGTGTGCTGAGCCATGTGGCGCTTCAGGTTCCCTCCTTGTGTGAATCTGATGCCGCAGACGGAGCAGCTGAAGGGTTTCTCTCCCGAATGAGTTCTCAGGTGTTTCTTCAGAGCTCCGCTTGCAGCGAAGCCTTTAGCGCACACGGAGCAGCTAAACGGTTTCTCTCCCGTGTGAATTCTCATGTGAGCCTTCAGGTTGTGCTTGTGATGGAATGTGTTCCCACACTGGCGGCACCGAAACGGTTTCTCTCCCACTTCCACCGAGTTCTCCTCCACTTGGCTCTCGTCGAGCTCGGACTGCTCGCTGCCACACTTGTGTCGTCTGAACCCTGAAAGCCATGTGAACTTTTTGTCACAGATGTTGCAACTGAACTGTTTCTGTCCCGTGTGGACGGCCGTGTGCTGAGTCATGTGAACCTTTTGTGTGAAACCTTTGGCACAGAAGGGGCAGCTGAATGGTCTCTCTCCGGTGTGAAGCCTCTCGTGAGTCTTCAGATTCACCATCCGGCCAAATCGCTTCCCGCACTGAGAGCAGCTAAACGGTTTCTCTCCGGTGTGACTTGTCATGTGACCCAGCAGCGACCTCTTACAGCCGAATGTTTTCCCACAGTGAGAGCAGCTGAATGGTCTCTCTCCGGTGTGGATCCTTACGTGAGTTTGCAGATGTTCCTTTCGGCCAAATATTTTCCCGCAGTCGGAGCAGCTGAATGACTTCTTAACGGTATTACATCCTGAGTTTAAACCCGACTGAGGTTCTCTGCTCTCCGTCCCGTCAACATCACTGAACTCATCCTTGAATTCAGAGTCTCCAATCTCCTCATCAGTATCTGGTTCTGGATGTCTATCTGGATCTGAGTTCCTGTCTGGTTCTGGTCCTCCACAGTCCTCTCCATCAGCTTCTGTTTCCATCTGTTCAGTTTGTCTT